TAAAAAGTTTTATTACAAAATTTCTTTTAATGTAATCTTCTTTACTTGTGTTATCATTTGTTATTTTACTTGGATGTAATGTTTTAAATGTAGTGATCCAGTCAATTTTTTGTGTTTTTTCATTATCCAAAATTTTTTGAAACCTTTTTTGCAGTTTTTATCATTGTTTGTATCTTATTGTATTTGTTTTTTTTAAGGCTTGCTTTATAGAAAACTTTATGGAAATTTTTTTCCATGTTGGAATAAATGATCTGTTTTCAATATTATTGATTACATAATCCTCTTTTATTATTTTTTCTGTAACTTGTGCTGGTTGGTCTGCCATTTTATTAAAATAGTTTTCTTCATGTACTTTTACCTTATGCAACTTAATTTTAATTTCAATTCATCTATAATTTCTTTTATAGTTTGAAATATAATAAGATTTTTGACTTTATTCCATAGATAATTTATTTTCCTTTATTGACTTTGTTCATTTATTTATAACACACTTGCTATTTGTTTATATATTTACCTGAGAACTTTTTGGAATTACTGTTAGTGCTATTAGTATTGGCATTAATTCTGCTTTAGTTGATGATAGGAATTGTTCCAAGTTACTTCAGAATGTCATATTATTATTTAATTCTTGATTAAAATTACCCATGTGGTCTTCTTCAAGTTCTTCATTGAACCATCTATATATACTTTAATTTCTGTTCTATTTTTTAGTTTGTCTCTTATAGTTTCCAATTTTTTATATACTGATTTTTCTGTTGTTAACCATTTTCTAATCATGTTTTGTTCTGTTTCTATGTCAGTTATATCTAAACATATGTTTTGATCATTTATAGGTTCTTTGTATACAAATTTCATAATTTCTATTGCTTTTTTAATGTTTTTAAATAGCATCTTTATTCTGTGTTTATATCTTTTTCTTATTATTACTGAGGTTGAGATCTTTAAGTATACAACTGGTATCTCTATTTCTGTCTCATCCATATTGTCTAGTATTATAATACATTCATTTGTTTTATCCTCCAATGTTCTCTTCACAACTCTCACAAGGAATCAGCACTGATATAGGTTCCATATTTCTTGTCAGTATTTCATAATATTATATGATTTTTTCTTTATTTTAATTTTTCTTTCTTATTTTTTTATTCTTTGTTGTTTTATTTTCTTTAATCTTTCAATTTTATTTGATTAGTATTTGTCTTTTTCTTGATTATCCAGTTGTGTTTATTTAAATTGCAATTATTTTGTAATTGAAAGAATTGGTTGTAATGCTTGTCATTTATTTGTGTAATTATTTCACTATAATTATCCATAATTACTTTCCTTTGTCTTTTATGTGTTTATACCAATTTAGAATTCTATCCTTTTTGTTTATTAAGTTGACTTGTATGTGTGGGCATTCTATTACTTTTTTAAGCTCAAGATCTAGAATTTGTTCTGAGTATAAAATTTTTTTTCTCTTAAGCTTTTTCTATGTGTTTCATATTTTTGTCCAATACTTTTCAGTACCATCTCTATTAATATTTTTCCATCTGATGAAATTTTAAGATTATATTTACCCCCTTTAGTTTTATGCCATTTAATTTTGTTCCTCTTACATAAATTAATTATTGATGCTATAAGCACTGGTCGAAAATGGATAAATCATACACACATCGAGTACCCGATATGTGCATGGTATATCCCTAATTTCAGATGTATATCAGGTACCCGATAAGTGTAGAAAATATTTTTTTGCACTTATCAGGTACCCGAGATATATATATATAATATTTCTCACCTATCGGTACCCAATATACACCTGATATTAGGGACTTACTATGCACATATCGGGTACCCGATGTGTGTATGATTTATTAATTTCCAACCAGTATAAGGAACATTACAGAATTTCAATAAAAAATTATAATAGTATAAATAATAATCTACATAGGTATTTATTATTTATAAGGTAAATCACAAAATATTTTATTAACAGAAACTGAACTAAACTGATTGTGAATGTAGCAAAGAAAAATTCAGCCCTTCATATATATAATTGAAGTTATAATAAATTACACTGTAGATTATACTAATATATGCACTATTAATTATGCTGATATATATACTATTAACTACACTTTCTACTATGCTATCTATTACCACTAGTCGAAAATTGATAAAACATACACATATCGGGTACCCGATATGTGTATGTTTTATCAATTTTCAACCAGTGTACACTGTATTTTAAACTATTGAATACACTATTGATTATGCTGTATACTATGCTGTTGATTACACTCAGATCTACAGTTATAATACTTAATAGTTGTACTAATTTCAAAATAATTTACATTAATAATTTCCTGTAAATATATACTAATAAAATATAAAATTAAGCTAATAAAATATGACCAAACTAATAAATACATGATGATAAAATAATAATATGATTAAGATAAAGATATAATAATAAATAAAATTTAACTATTAGGGTTAACACTTTGTATCCTAGGATGTATTATGTTAAACTTTTTAAAAGAACTGATATAAGGAGAAAGGAAATCAAGTGAATTTTTGCCCTTAACACCATGTTGATATTGGGGTTTTCTAATATGTCAATTTTGTTAATTTTGTTAAGTTATTTTAATCAATGGACAATATTTATCTTTTAGTTGTTCAAAATTACATATAACTTTAAAAGTAACATTAGTTGTTTGTGAATTTTTCTAAGTATTTTTTAGGTCTTCAAATTTTCAAACTAGATCTTGATCTTCAGGTGTTTAGTCTATAATATTTTTAATCTTTTGTTAATATAAGGTAGCAATTTTAGTAATAACTTAGTTTAGTTCTTCAATTTGAATTAAAGAGATTATAAAAAGGCAATTATAAGGTTATTTTATATGTATATATAAAATAATAATAAGGGAAATAACTAATACTAATAAAAATATAACTAAACTAAACTAATAACTAAATTATTAAATAAAATCATATAGTTACCATCAAATTGTTGACTGAAATTTACCTTCAAAAGAATTCAATAAACTAGTAACTAAAAGTATGGAAAATACATATAGCTAAACTAAATAACTATATTAAATATACTATTGTTAGATGGGTTATACTATGAATATAAAAGTTTTATTAATATGGATTTACTCAAAAGAGGCTAAAGGGTGGGATTTTTATAAAAGAGTTGTGTCACTAAGATAATATTTCATTAAGACAAGTCACAAAGATAAAACTATACTATAAAAGTTATGAAGACAAAAACTATAATAAATTTAGTCACAAAGGCAAATATAATTCACAAAGAATTATAATAAAGTTTTGTACAAAAACTTATACAAAAGGTAAATTCACTAAGAATTTAAAGATGTTACTAATACTAAGAAATAATTTACACAGAATTATTATAAATCAAAAAGAAGTTTATTAATTGTAAGTTTTTAGAACTGAGAAGAACTTATAAAAACTTAGGAGAACTGAGGACTGAAGATAAAAGAATTTAGTCTTTATATACATACTTGAAGTTTAATAGATTACATTGTAAACTATACTAATGCATATATTATTTATTACAATAATGTATACACTATCTATTATGCTATCTACTACACTGTCTATAATACTTTTAATACACTATTGATTACACTGTAGACTACACTATCAATTACGTTGAAGATCTACAGTTGTAATACATAATAGTTACACTAATTTCTAACTGATTTACATTAATAATTATGTTAATATATACTAAATAATATATGTAATACAAATAATAAAATATACTATAATAAATAATATAATAAAAATAAAAATAAAAATAAAAATAGAGCTAACAGCACATATATAGTAAATTTATTTTTGTATATATGAAAATAGATATTTTTTCACAAATTCTTTTTTATAAGTATTTTTTTAGTATATTATTTATGAAACTCTATTTTTATAAAATAATGTTGATCCCAGATATATTAGCAAATATGTAAATTTATAATATTATGGACTAATATATCTCTATTTTCTCCACTATTATTAAATTGTTTGTTGTTATCTTTAAAAGACTTTTGATTAGTGGATTTCAGATTTTGTAATATCATTTTATTGGTCTTATCAGTTATGGTTTTGTAACATGATTTTTGTAAAAATTATATTCTTTAAGATAACAATTGTGATTAACCTCTTTTTAAATAGTAAAAGGTAACAGGTGATCTCTTATGATCGAACAAAGCCTCTAAAGAAGTTTTGGCATAGTAAAGTTTTTTCAGATCAAAGAATTTATGAAGGAAAGAAATCGATGTAATGTTGTGTTACTTGGAAAAGATAACAGGTGATCTCCTGTGACTGAGTAGAAAAACTTTGGCACAATAAATTTTTCCAGTGACATTGTAAAATTAGAAAATCTAATTTTCTCTCAGCTTAGTGAAAAGGATAAAGAGTCCACATGCTTATTCAAAAAGTGCTAACTATTGTTAAATTTTTTTACAGCTGCATCATTTGACTTTTAAAAAAATTGTATAATTAAAAAAAAAATGACAAGTTTAATATTTTTAACATTTGTGAGAAAAAAATTCTTTGAGTGATTAATTAAAACTGTTCAGAAGATATTAAAGTAATTGAATATTTGCTTTTGTTAAGCTGGTTTACAAACCGATTGGAATATGAATTTTTCATTAATTACAAATACTCACGAATTTTTTTACAGTAGAATTAGTTCAATGAATACAGTAAAATAATATGATATATGAATAATTTAAAAATGACAAATAAATAAGTTTCAATATTTTATAATTTTTTTGAATTAGAAACCTGTTTTTATTTTTATTTTTCATTTGTATATACAAATTCTGTTTATTTATGTATTAGGAATGATTCATATAAATAAAAATAATAAAAATGAAATGAAATATAGTACCATTGTTAATTATTATTTTAATATTCTCCTGTATTTATTAAACTCATTGCAGTTATGTATTCAATAAATGTCATAACAACTACAAACTGAATGTGCAAAATTAGAAACTGAGACCCTCTAATGCAAAATCAAATAGTAACAAATCCAAAACATAAAGGCAATCTGATGGATTCATGTGTAAATTAGATAATTACAATAATAAAAATAGTAAAGAAGAAAAAGATGAAAAAATAAATAACAAAAAAATCCCTGTGCAAGAGGCACCAACCTCACGCTAGTTGTACATAAATTGTGTATATTACACCTAAAAAGTTTCCAGATGGCCTTACATTAAAAGGATTATTTATTCTCATTTGTATTTGAAATTTCTATTTTGAATAAAGTATATAATAAATATAAATTAATATTTTATATTCTAATATATTCTTTATTCAATATTATCAAAAATTCCAATAATCAATATAAATTAAATAATAGTAATTTTCTAAATAGTTTCATATCTTCATTTGATTTCAAGAGAAGAAACCAAATTAAGTAAATTAAAATTAAAGAAGAAGCTATTTATTGTTCTGCATTAAGTAGAAGAGGTGATCTTTGGATGTCGGGAAATTTTGGATCATCAAAGGGATGATAATTAATTTGATTATTATTTAAACTTCATTAATTTCATTAAGAATTATCTTCACTTTATTCTCCAAGAAAATCCTCAATATAAATATTAATAATTGATAATATTAATAAAGAATTAATCCGAATGAAGATTTATATTCATGACCAATTATTTGATTATAACACTTGCAGTAATTTTTATTCTACCAAGCAATAATCTATATATCTTTCCTTTTCTAGATGAACATTTGGCATATAAACCACCTTCTTCATTATATTTTGCGCTTTAAACAGTATACAGTAATCTTGTAATTTAATGAAAAATTTACTTAAAAAATTTACATTGCATGAAATTTAAAAAATATAAGTGATATGGAAATAGTTGCAGAAGTAAATAGAGATGAGAATGATAGTATAATCAAGATATTAGAAAAAAGAAATGGATGAATTATCAATTATGTTGTCCATTAACTGACAGTAGCAATGAAAATTTTTTATACTTTCATCACAAAATTATGATGTTCTATATTCAGAACGGGTTCCTTTTAAAGAATATTGAACAAAGTGGCTCAGTCAAATATTTAAAGAGACTTGGAAATTAAAATAGATATAAGTCATAAAGATAAAGAGAATTTTTTTGAGGTATTAGTTAATAATTATAAATAGTTCTAATTATGTTACCAGTAAAAATCTTATTAGATAAAATTGGATTTTCGTTAAAATCCAATATTACTTTTAGCAAATGCAACTTTTCAAAACGGAAATAGATAAAACTGAAATTAATGCTTCGTGATAGTTGTAATTAAATAATATAATTATTATGTGTTTATCTATTCTTCAAAAAAAATAGATTTTCCGGTATAGAAGGATTGTGATTCAATTGTACCTAACTTGAACCTATCCTATGGGTTGATGTTTGTCAATAATTTAATTAAAATGAATTAAAAGAATAATTGATTGAAGAGCCTCAATCATAAAGTATATGTTTATTTATTGTTTCAATACTCTTTTATTATACTTTATTCATCACTAATGTCTGTCCTTAGTCATGTCATGTTGATGGCAAAAAATTTCGCGACGTCACGTCAAGTTAAAAATAAACTTTAAACTTCGATAAAATTTTTAATTTAGAAAAATATAAAAATAGAAAAATTGAAATATTAATTAAAATTCCTATAAAATATATTGTTTCATTATACTACTGTATAGCTGATAGATATTATAAGATATATATTGTTGAATAAATAATAGTTTTACATTAAATGATAGTGAAAAAGGTTCTTTGGTTCATTTATATGAGGAGGTAATTCTATAAACAAAATTAGTCTTGCTGGCGATCAATCAGGAGCAAATTAACTTCCCAAAGTTGTTTGTCAATGATTAATTGAATCTAACGGAAAGTGAATATGTAATAAGCATTATGTAGTTTTGACGTGAGAAATTTTTCTTGGTCCATCCTTTAAGGTCAGTGGGAGAGTAGTATTCTGAGTAATTCCCACCTATATAACGAATATCTTTCTATAGATCCAGATACTTGATTAGCCATATTTTATTGAAGATAAAGCTTCTTGGTTCAAAACACATTTTTCTTGGGTTTAACATACTGAATTGAAAAATTTTGTAATGATTAGGTTCTAGTTTTTTGGATAACTCTGCAAGTTCAAAATTCACTAGCAAATAAATAAATTTATAAAATGATAATAATACTACTATAGATAAATCAAAATTTTCAAAATAAGTAAAAACATTTATATTATTGTAATGTTCATTTAAGAATAACTTGACTTTTTAATTACTTATGAAAATAAGACGATCGATATTTCAATACGAAAAAATTTTTCCTTTACCCTTGATTTTTGACTTCAATGATTACATTGTAATTATTATTATTATTAAGAAGTTCAATAAAGTTTTAAGATAATTTGTAAATAATTTACAAAAGAGAAATGTCTTTAAAGTTTATTGAGTTGAAAAGAAAAATGAAAGAAATTAAAGGATTATCAGGAATGTGAAATTTAATTAATTTAATTTAAGAGAACTTAAAATATCCCTCTATTTAGTGACGACAAACAAATAATCATAATGTTTATTTATCTTTCCAGATATTTAAATTATTAATTGATCTACATTTATCTACTACCAGATATTAAAAGTATCTTCTTCTTCTTTTATAATAAACTAAAATTGCAATACAGATCAAAACCACTATACCAATTCCTGTTCCAAATCCAATCAGTAATGTTTTTGTTGAATTACTAGAAGTTGAAGTAACAGTAGAAGTATCAGTAGGAATAGCAGTAGAAATAGTAGATTTATCAGTAGCAGTAACTTTTTTAATAATAATTAAGGTACTTTGAGGAATATAAACTTCAGTTTCGTAATAAGTTGTAGTATAACCTGGATAAGTTATTGTGGATGTAGTGTATAAATCGGCGGTTGAGTATGCACTATATGACAAGCTTTGTGATAAAGTGAAAATACTAATTTAATAATACACTCTCTAAGTCATGATAATAAATGTATTTATAATTTTAGAATAACTTACACAGAATTATTAAAGCTAGAAGTGGTTGTTGTTTGTACTGGAATATTTGATTGAGTATCTTGTTGAGTAAAAATGGGAATAAGTGTTAGATTGTTGTAAATTTATCATTCGCTTCATCTTACAGCTTCACCATACCAGTTGGAGGTGGTGTAATAGAAGTTGTAGTGGTAATAGAATATGCAATATTTGTTTGACTTTCAGTTATAGATGAAATATTTGTAGTACTTTCAGTTGTAGATGTAATATTTGTTTGAATTTCAGTTGTATATGTAACATTTGTTTGACTTTCAGTTGTAGATGTAGATGTAGATGTTAACAAAACCAACGCTACGATTAAAAGTAAAGTAAAATGCTTCATAACATTAATTGACATCATCTTTATTTCTTTGTGATTTTTTGTTTCGCAAATAAAATTTATCGTTTACTTTTTTTTTGTACAAATGAATTTTAAACCAATGCTATTTTGTAAGAAAAAAAATTTTTTTTTTTAAAAAAAAAAGTATTTCGAGATTTTTTGATTTTTTTTTGCTATTTTTAAAATTAGTTAACCGAATAGACTTTTTATACTGACGAGTCAAAGATCTAAAAAATGGCAAAATCGATTCCAATTACTTTGAATTATTAATCAGAAAACGGTGAATTTTGCCCGAATTATGTGCTACGAGAATACTAAATAAATTCGAACAATACTGTGTTACAGGCTGCGTTGAAAAAGAAATATCAACCAGGGTATTTTATTGTTGCAACTTCCTTTTTTAAATTTCGGCGGACACAATATATTATGTAATTACAAAATAAGGTTTGTGGTGCGTATTCATGCTGTACTACTTAATTACATTTGTTTTCTTTGTTTTCTTTAGAAACTTCAATCTTTTACACTCTTTATTAAATTACTAAAAAAGATAATATCATGTAACCCTTTATGCATCCAAATTCAAAAAAATATTTCTTTTTTTGAATTTCGACGGCAATGTTCAAATTTTATTCTCGTAGTACAATATTTCATCGTTTGATTTCTAAGTATTATATATTTTTTTTAAAAAAAATTGGTTTAAATCATAATCAAATGAATCAAATGAAATCGAATTTTTGCTAGAAACACGTATTTTTTTAATTTAATCTGCCATATTTTTTTTACTTTGACTCGTTATATAAAAAGTCTGTTCGATAACTAGCTTAAAAATAGCTACACCACATAATGCTTTTTAAAAACTTAATAACATCCCAAATCGTGAAATACAGATTCTTTGGTTTTTTTTAAAAAAAAAAATTCTTATAAAATAGCATTGGTTTAAAATTCATTTATACAAAGAAAAGCGAAAAGGTTTATTAACGAAATGAAAAATTACAAAAGAATAAACATTATGTCAATTGATTCTATGAAGCATTTTACTTTACTTTTAATCATAGTGTTAGTTTTGTTAACATCTACAACTATAAGTCAATCAACTACTTGGACTACTACTTCTAGAACCATTACTACCATTACTATCACAACAAACCCTACTGGTAGTATGAAGCCATAAGATGAAACGAATGATATTTATGATAAATTTACAAATTCTCAAACCAATTCTAACAATTATTCCATTTTTACTCAATCAGATCCAGATATTCCATCACTATTACAAACAACCACTACTTCTAGAATTAATTGTAGCTCGTGCGAAGTTGATACTTCAGTGTAAGTTATTCTAGTCATTTTTTGACTTGTTATAATTTAAATACATGTTTTATCTTGACTTCGTGTTTCGAGAGTCTATTATTTAATTATTTCTGATTTTTCTATACAAAACTCATAGAGGTGTTGGTTCTACTGTTACGTCAACTGCTTCAAATTCACAACATAGTATTTTCATTACTATTACTTCATCTGCTTTAACAACTGGTCCTAATATAATAAAATCACGCAAGACTTCCATTTTCTTAAGTACAATCACAATATTAATTCCTGGTTATACTACAACTTTTGAAATAACTCAAAATGGAATAGAAACTTCCACTGTTTATATTCCTCCAAGTACTGTTGTTGTTGTTAAAGAAGCTACTGCAGTTATTATTACTTTTTCTACTGCTGCTCCCCCTCCTCCTCCTCCTCCTTCTCAACCTGTTGTAAAACCATTACTGATTGGGCTTGGAGCAGGAATTGGTGTGGTTTTGATTTGTATTGTAATTTATGTTTTTTATAAAAGAAGAAGTAGAGTTCTTAGAATATATGGTAATATGAGACCTTAATAATTTATATATGAAAGATAAATTAAATCGTATAATTATTTGTTAAAAGAAGAAAGATTCTTTTATACAGTACATGACAATATATAAATGATAGGAACAATTAATAATTTAAAGATATGGGAATATAAATTAAATCGCATTAATTTGTTTTTAATTTATGATTAAATAGAGGAATATTTAAAATTCCTTTAAAGGGGGAAATATTTCATATTGTATTATACAAAAACACCTGTAATTCACCAACAATCATTTATAAATTTAATATTACAATTTGTAACCCTTCATTTTCTTCATTTTTCTTTTCAACTCAATAATTTATAAAAGGAAAAATGTCGACATATTTTTTGACAAATTATCTTAAAACTTTATTGAACTTCTTGATGATTAGAATGATTCTAATATTGAAAATAGAAAAAAAGAAATCTTTTAATAATTCCAAATCATGTATTTTGATATTATTACTTAAGTAAATACTACCAATAATATAAACATTCTTATTATATTGAAAATTTAGTTTATTGATAATATCATATTGTAAATTAATTTATTGAGTTAGTGAATTTGAACTTGCAGAATATCCAAAAAAAAAGAACCTATTTTTATTGAAAATAAAGATTCTTGGTTAAAACACATTTTTTTAGTCTACTATACTGATTGGCAAAGAATTTAAAAAATTTTTAATAGCTCAGATTTTACTTCTATTCAGTAGGAAACGAAATGAGAAAATTTTATCAAGTGGAAATTGTTTAGAATCCCACTATCTACTGACCTTAAAGAATGGTCCAAGAAAATTTTCTCACATTAAAAACTACAATGCATGTCACATATTCATTATTTTCACCTTTCAGTTTAAGTTCAATTAAACATTGACAACAGATTTGAAAAGATATCAATCAGCATTTATTTGTTCCTGACTGATTATCAGCAAGACCAGTTTGGTTACAAAATAAATCTTCTCATACAAATGAGCCAAAAGTCCTTTTTTAACCATTGAACGTTAAATAATTAACTATTCAATAACAAATATTCCATATAATTTTGAGATAGTTTTGTTCCACAAACATTTAAGATATCTTTCGGTTAGATCATACTTGTAGAGTTAATTGTGATAAAAGTGTGAGAAACTGATAAAATTATAATCTTTAGTATGGGATAATATTTATAATGATAAGTGGAGAAAATGGATGGAAACAAATGATATTTATGTTTTTTCATGAAAAAATTGTAATGGTAAAAATAATCAAAATTTATATTTTAGATAATTGATTTTCTATTGATAATTATATATACAAAATTGTTTTAGAAATTATATTATATGCTTAAATTTTCTACATATATCATTAATGCAGTTTTTCAATTCATCTAATTTTTCATTTCATTAGAATTACACATTGTTAACATAATTTATTTACTTTTTTTTTTATCGTGGTTTTCAAATTAGTGTGATAATGTAAGAATCTGAAATATATAATTGAAAGGTATTCGAATACCTTATCAACAAGAACACTCAAATTTCAGCCAATAAAAAATTGATATATTCTCTCGAATTATCATGTGTTATAAATTATATGGAATGTTATTAGCTGAAATAGGAGGAAGGATTAGTCACGTGTTCTAGGTATTTGAATACCTTTCAAGTATATAAAATCAGATTTTTCCATTATCACACTAATTTGAAAACTATGATAAATGAATAAATTTGAAATTACAACATAAGATAAATTTTATCAATTTTAATAATCTAAACATTATTCCTTACATAGATTTATTTTTAGGATGGATGCCATTATTGTTCTTTCTATTGGTTAATCTTTATCTACAATATTTGGAATTCTTATGTGGTGAAGTAAATTGGTAATAATATGGATTATCATGAGAAATGATAAATGGTGATACAAAATAATTGTGATATCAGCTGGGATAATAACTGGTGTTGTCATCCAAAAGACATCATGTAAAGATGAAAGATGAAGTATGAAGGATAATAGATAAAAACTGAATGAAGGTGAAAAGGTATAACAGAAGTAGCAATCTCTTAGAGTTTTAGTAGTTATAATAGTACCTTTGACTTTAGTTAATTAATAATTACACATAGTTTCAAACATTAACATTCATGGAACATGTCAACATAAATCATTTTTATAATAAAAAAATTCATGTAACCATAATTCAGATATTTTGTCTCTAGTTGAACTTGAAAAAATTCTTATATATTATAATTGAACACATAATAATCTATCATTTAATTGATTTTCTTTTGATATTTACATTCATTTATTATTCTATTACTATTTTTTTTCTCTTCTTCTATATGTGAAACTTTACCTTAAAAATATTCTTTTTTTAAGATCCTCTTAAAAGTAGAGATAATTATACTTTATTGGTAACAATAACATATGTATTTTTAGTAGAGAAAAAAAGTTTTCTAAGACCACAAAAGTGATTATTCTAGTGGATTTTATACAAAATATAAAAAAAAAGATTTTTTAATAAGTAAAATTAATTTTTATTACTATATAAATTTTTTTAACTAAAAATAATTTTATAATCAGGTATATTGATAAAAAAAAACAATTTTTTAAAGGTATATATTCAAATAGATTTTGTAATAATGCTTGAAGTAATAGTTGTGCAGGTTATAAGATACTATATTAAGAATATTTTTATTTTACAATGTAATAATTTTTATTATTTAAATAAAATAATTTTTACATTAAAGATTGGTATTGTTATCCGTGTAAACTTTCTACAATTTACAAAGACAACGTAATAAAATAATACTAAAACTAATAAACAAAACTAAGTATCACTATAAGAATTACTAATCTCAAGATAGAATAATCACAATACAAGGGTTTATACGTAGAAGGAATTAAGTACGATCAATTATGAAAGAGATGTGTTTAACTATTAACAGTGGTATGAAGACTTGTTAATAAGAGCAAACGGTCTATCAATTATCAAATGAATACAATAAACGAGGAACTCAAGGATTTTGTAATATTAACTTTATTACTTAATAAATCCTAACTAATTCGAAAAACTAAGAAACTGACTAGAAAACTGAAGACTGAGTTAAGGAAATTCTCAGCCTTTATATACATTATTATTTTA